GGAAATATAACAATATCTTTTACACATAAAGTGATTATTGAGGAAGTGTTAAAAAGGGCAAGCGTTAATAGGTCTCTCATAAACGTAACAAAAATAGGCAAGAAGAGATGGTAAAGAAATATTACAATAACACATAAGATTGAAAGAAAGAAGAGCAGAGAGAGAGACAAAGGCTCAAATACATGAATAACATTAGTAGCTGAATGGAAGATGGCAATATCAATATTGACCTTCTTCAGGCTATAAGATATCGAAATAGATGGAGTGCCATGATCGCCACCGTCTGTAACAGACAATGCGTAGAGCAAGCAAATAAATATAAAAGATATATATTTGAGAAACTTAGATTTAAAGATTAATTGTTTGCCTGTGTATTTATCGCAAATATTGGTGTTACTTTTGTAGTTGCATGGCTTCTTTTGGTACAGTGTAGCAACAAATACTTTGTTTTGTGTGTTTTGACGAATTTCGCACAATGTTATTCGAGGACTATCTACGTTAGTCGTCCTTAATTTTGAAGTGATAGAGTAGTCCAAATAGTAAGGTTTGACTTATATCTTTATAACACATCCAAAGTCCCAAAATGCGAAGCTTGATCTTGTTCGGACGAACCACGAAACCTTAGATCCGTAGCTGGCATTTTAAACACTGGGGCACGCTAGGCTCAGCAACAGTGGAAAAAATAAAAATTTTCCAATATTCTGAATTGTTTTTTATATTTTAAAATACTAAACAGTCAATTTTTTCACTCGTTAGTGACACAGAAGTAAGTCCGAAAGCTTATAATGCTAAAAACCGGGTTTCGATAACCCTGGTAGGCACAGCACAGGTAGACCATTGTGTAGATTTGCGCTTAACTACAAACAAACAAATTAATTCTTTTCCATAAGAGAATTTTTCACACTTTTGTTTGAAGTAAACTCAAAAATGCAAATCGTAACACAAAATAATAATATATCGTAATTTTATTAAATAAAACTTTTCTAGTTATAAAATGGATTATTGATAAGTTGATAGAGGGCAGAATGTAAAGAGACACGTGCTATGTTTTGTAATCAAAATGTAAGGTAAAGGTTTAAGTTTCCTCACGGATTTTCTATTTTACCTAGGCTTTTAAGTTATATTTATATAATTATTAAATAAGTACAAATTTACGTTGTATAAGTAAAATGTGAAGATGGATGACGTTCTAAATTTATGAGATAGCAAGTAAATATAAATTAATAATCTATCTAAATTTTTTAGAATTACTCGATTAGTGTAACTTCTAACGGCTCATTAACACAGTAAGTTGAGTAACACTACAGTAACAAGTATTTTCTCATTTTCTACGTAACGTGATACTTGGACAGTGCACATTGTCTTATTTTGCTATAATTAGTAATACTAAGTACAATGCTAATTACTTTTACTGTTACTACTTATCTTTATACATTAATATACATTTATTAGTTTTTCTATTTTCTTGATCTATCACAAATAAATTAAAAATTTCTGTTAATTGCAAATCTAGAACTTGAATTTTGCATTAGTACTTACATATTATTTATAATTTAGATTATTAAGAAACTCATTTTCTGTAGTTTACTGATACTGTGTACTAATGCAGAGGTTTCTAGTTTTTTGTTGTTGTAACTGTCTTCAATTCTGTGGTATGTTCAGGTGAAACTGAATTAGGTCTAAGAGCTATACCAGATAGGTCTGTTAAATAACACAGTGTGTATGTGTGTACTTGCTGTTACTTACATGGGACAATCAGGGCTTGATTTACCCTTCTTTGCCACCCCCTAAGCCAATTCCAGACTGGCTGCCCTACCCATACTCTACCCTACTCACTACAAATTTGCTCAGATTGAGGTTTAAGAGCTGATGCTGTGGAGTTTACCATCGTTACTGACTTGATAATTTAATGTATGAAAATGATTAACAATCATAAAGTTATGTTAACAGGTTTATTGAAATAAATATCAAGTAATAACAGACTAAAACATCTCAGTCTGATTCAGGTTTATTAGGATATCATTGCACGCATTTTTTGAGTGAAATTTTTTATTCGTGAAGTTATCAGTAATATCCTCATTTGAACATGTGTTCAAAAGTTCTGACTCAATGATGACCTTAAATAATTCTTTACACGCCTTAGATGAGAAACAAATCTTTTGGCACTACAGTTGGTAACTACAGTGTAGAGAAAAATACACAAAGTTATTTCTACATTTGGATAAATTACTTGCAATTTATTAGTTCTGATTAACTTGTGAAGTTCTGGAACGGGTTTGTAAAGCTTATGACATTTTTCGAATGAGAGTAAAGGTGCATGTATTCGTCAGCAAAGCTTTATCCCAACTCATCAGGGATTCTGATTACAGAGGATTATCGCCTGAGCTTTCAAATCCTTAGCAGTTTGACTTGTGATTTTTTTTCATAGAAACATAATTTGTTATTCACCAGTTGGTAAGTTTCTGTCCTCAGTTGGAGCTCATATGATAACTTATCCAGGACTGAGAAGAATGTGTTAACTGTGAACTGATCTGTGGCATTCAACTCTGTTTGTCCTTGCTGTCTGACATCAAATGACAGTTTCCTCCTTCTGTAGCCATGTCGTAATTCTCTAGCTCAGAGAGCTTTTTGTCTTCTTTTTCAAACTTGTTGAAATATATTCTAGATTCTTATATGGGCTCAAAAAGAGCACCACAGAACCTAACAATAGTCCATATTTCTATAATAATAGTCTGTAGGCATTTGTTGGTGGGATTAAATCTGTCAAAAATGTAACTACAAAATATGGTCATGATGCAGTCTTCAGCTGCTCCTAGTTTCTCCGTAGTGCTTGCTGTAGCCTTGCTTCATATTACTTGTTTTGGAAAAATGTCTTCCTGAATTGTAGAAAATGTAACTACAAAATATGGTCATGATGCAGCTGCTCCTAGTTTCTCCGTAGTGCTTGCTGTAGCCTTGCTTCATATTACTTGTTTTGGAGAAATGTCTTCCTGAATTGTATTCAGGGCTTGAATTATCTCTTTCTATGATTTTCTCAGACTATGACATGTATTGTTGCACAATGAACATCTTGTGATGGACACATTTTTGATGATATTACATTTAGCACTTCCCACCTATTTGTATAACTGTTGAATGGTCGCAATGAAAGAAATTACTTCCAAGCAGTATTTAGTAGCACGTGTTCCTGCAAGAACAATGTGCTGATTAAGGGGTTTCTTTCCTTAATTCAAGCTTGAAGCCCAGAATAGGGACCAGACATGTTGCCAGCATTGTCATAAGACTGTCCTTTGCAGTTCAGTATGTCAAGTTAAAATTCCAGTGTATTGGTGACAATATTGAACAAAGTCTTGGCTTTATGCCCAGTGTTGGAATAAACTTTAGAAACCATTTCCATCTTTACTGACATATCAGTTAATGAAGGATAGTTGGTTCAAGTGCAATATGTCTAGTGTTGAGCCAGCACTTATAGAATAATACTTAGTGGTCTTCACTTTGGTTGTTATCGCTTGTAACAAATTGGCTGCCATGACTTCACTGAATTAATAACATACTGTTTTGGGTGCTACTATAGTATGCGGTCTACAAAGATATTTACACTATACCATGCGGTTTACACAGTTACTATAATCATCACCAGTTTAACATTCAGACTAAAATAGTTTGGGAACCACTGTTCTAGGCCACCCCGTCCACTATGTAAATATTAAAAAAACTTTAAAGCTAACTGTTATTAAACTATCAATGAAGCCTTTCCCTAAGCTCCTATAAACTTGCTGCATCCACCACCTCTGAAGGCAACCCATTTCAAAGGCTAATCATCTCATTAGAAAAATAACCTGTAGACGACTCCTACCCTGCCATTGTATCTCCTAGCCCTACCATTCTCACCATTAAGTTTGAAAACAGATGATGCATTGGCATTATCAATTCTCTTCAAAATCTTAAACACTTCAGAGATTTTCTTATAACAATCTTTCCATCTCGTGTATTATCTCTAACAATTCAGTGTCCTTCCTAAGGTAAGGAACCCAAGACTAAACACAATCCTCCAAATGTGGCATAACCAGTGACACATAGAATTATATTATAATCTCTTTAGACTTGTATTTAATATTTCTGTAAGATATTTTTTTGCCTACCACTAGCAACAGTATTATACTTGGTTCGCTTAAGAGACTGATCAACCACAACTTCAAGATATCCTTTTCTTCAATAACACTGTTGAGGCTATTCCCATCAAAATTATACTCCTAATTCAAGCTATGATATCCCACATGAATTACCATGCATTTATTATAATTAAAAGCCATCAATCAATTACTCATGGCATTCATTAAATTATCTAATTCCACTTCACAGCCAGTAACACCCAAAACCAGTGGAAGATGTATGGATTCTGATATCATACACAACTTCCACTCACATATAGTTTCCTGATTTAGTGCTGCCCTCTGTATGTGAACGTTTTCTCTCACTGCTAGCCTTGTGACTAAAATCATGAATTTTTGCATAATATTGCTGTGATATTCATTCAAATGAGCATGCGACAACCTTAAACTAATAGGAGTATGACACACCCTCCTAGTACAGCTAGCTTCCTCTATACTAATGGTTCAATCATCATTTCTAAATCTGGTACTTGTTTGTAAAGGTGTTCCATTTTATTTTTTGCTTGTTAGCTTTTGAGATATCAGTTGTTTTGTGTATGTATCTAAAAAACTAACTGTTGTAGAAATATTAAATTTGGAGGTTTCTTTCCAACAGTTCTGTACATACAAACTTTTTTGACTATTTTTTTTCCACATTATTAATTTGCAAGTGAAGTTACCTTTTACTTTGTCTCGTGTGGGACAACAAGATATTGTTCATGCTAAACTAACAACTTAAATGATATTGGGTTTGTCTTTGTCTGTTGAGGAAGTGACAGGTATTGTATAATGGGAAATGGAGTCTTTCATGTGGCCAGCATCTTCTTAACCTGATATACCTCCTCCGATGTATATAATTCATGCCAAATCTTCTGCCTATGCTGCTGTGGATCTACTTAGGCCTTTGTCACTTAAGGCAATGTGATATAGTATGAGAGAGCCAGCATAGTTTCACTAAGGGAA